GGGTTAAAAGGGATGCAAATGAGAAGGCGGATACCCTAGCAAAACAAGGTGCAAATAGATCTTCATTGTATTAGGCAGAATTGTAACTGATTGCTGGAGATTGCAATTTCCTATGCAATCTTTAGCTATTGTATCTTAATCTCTCTGTTATTAATGAAAGATTTTTACTGATAAAAAAAAGGTTATAATTTTATATGATAAAACTTAAAAGTTAAAGCAGAGAGCAAGTAAAAGACAAAAAAGAGAAAGGGTGGAGGTGCTGTTTTATTTAAATGTATGAGAGCAATTTCATATCAAATTAGCAATTATATTAATTTCTTTTTTTTTCTTTTTCTCAACACCTCTGGGTCTTTTAAATTTCAATTGTATAACTTAAAACAAAATATAAAGGATATATAAAATATATAATAGAATGTAGTAACATAAATATTTATAAGATGTAAGAATATGAATTATATTGTAATAAGGTACCTGTCTGGTCATTTTAGTTGCATAAGTGGGTGCCTAGCCACCTAGATAGGTGCCTATAAACAAGGCATCTAGGCAAGGCACTAAGCCAAGGACACCTAGTCCCCTAGCTTTTTTTTTGATAAATACCTGGTCACTTAGTTGACGCCCAGGCAGCTGCCTAGGCGACACCTTGACAAGTATGACCTTGAGGGAGTGGATGTTGTAGATATCAAAAAACATTAACAGTCCTCTTTTAGGAAGCTACAATCTATAGAACATGAGACTCTTTTTCCTTAAATTGATTTGGGAATCACCAGTTCCGTCCATAAATACATTTATGGTATGGAATATGGATTGTGACAAGGGACAAACTGGTAAGATGTGGAGCGATACTTGATTCGACATTTTCTGTTCTGTTATGAAAACATATAGATGAGACAGCAAATCACTTGTTACTGTCTTGCAGTGTTTCCATACCTATTTGGGCTCATTTCCTTGGCATTTCAGGATAGGTGCTTCTGAGGGGCCTTTAGGAGGCCTTGCAAGCATGGAATGGCAAAAACTTAAGCAACAGGAGAAAGCATCTTTATTAGATAAGCCTGTTTGTTGTAATGTAGTTGAACTGGAGAAAAAGAAATACCTAGACCCTGAACAACAAAAGCAGCCCTGAATAAGTGGTTGTTAGGACTGGGAATGGTGCACCTGTGGAAATCTATATTAAAGGAGTTCAGATAAGTAGCTCCACAATCTTTACTTTTACATGATGCCTTTGTTTGTGCAAAGATATTAATTCTTTCATGCACATTTTTAGGCTATCTAGTTTTCCCTGTTCTGTAGCTTCTTGTTATATGCAGATTGTACCTGTATTCTGTACATTTTCCAAGAGTAATAAATACTTTAACCTCCCATAAAAATGAAACCAGATGAATAAACTGTCAAACTGAACCAAAAACTAACATAAAACTAAACATATTCCTAAATCAAGTTCTGTTTGCACTGTAACTGCAATGGAAACCCACAACTGAAGTCCATGGAAGCAGAGCAACATGAATGGTTACAAGCACTATCCACTGCAGGACAGATGCAAATGAAGACACTACAACACCATGGTTCAAGTAAACCATGCTAATACCAAAGAAGTCTTAATTGTGATACAAACCTGTGTGTAACAAATATGACAGGTCGATTTCCAATGCCTGCAGCAACAAGCTTCTTTAGCAGCATTGAGCTGACTTCCTGCATATTTCTAATGGTTCAATTAGCAAATAACAGTCCCAATAAAGAAGAATCAGGTGAGAGAAATTTAGGATGCATGGAACTAGCTATTTTACAATTTACAAGGAATCAAAAAGTACATCATGCAAAGAAATTTTCATAAATAGACCAGAAAAATTAAATTWTCTCAAGTTAATAATGGAATTAACTCATATAATCCAATGAATACAAGTTTAATATATGGTCAAAGGGCCCAGCTAACCATCAAACTAGAAACTGGATAGACCATCCAAAGCTCAGTTGGTTTCTTAGTATCATATGTTCAACATATAACATAGCATGTAAAATGATGATTGCAAATAGATGATGCAGAAGGACAAACCTGAAGAGGTAGGCTAGCTCCAGACCACTGAGTCAAATTTGTCTGCATGAATCATTTAATTAGATGGTACATGATCATCAGAGGGTCCCAACCTGGAGACAACCTTGCAAATTAAAACTACTAGGGTGCTATGAAAATGAAAATTAAGGATTGCACTCGCCGGAATAAAAATATTTTCTTTTTTTTTGATCGATCAGAATAAAAATATTTTCTAAAAGAAGAAAATTTTAGTATTCAACAAACTCAAGAGCTTTTCATTTATATAGTTTTTTGAGCATTAATGCACTGAAGTTCACAAACCTTGTATTTAACAGTAAAAAGACGAGCACGAGGAAAGTCAGCTGAAAGCCATTCTCTTGGCCAACATGTACCTTGCTTCCCCGCCTCCTGATCAATTTTCTCTACAAGACCAGATTTACTAGTTGTTGAGGACTTGTCCTCAGCTATGCGCCAAGTCTTAAAAGGTCCGCCACGCAGTCCATGAACAAAAACAACATCCAGTGAAGAAGCATCTGACTCAGAAAACTTGCTGGATCCATTTACAGAATTAGACATATTAACATCGTCTGCATCATGACTTGGAGATGAGGGAGATGGGTTGTTAACAGACTTCAGCTTTGGTGTAGGTGGAGATTTCCATTGAGCATCATCTGAATTAGTTTTTTCAGGACACTTCCAGTGTGGCAATTCAGGATTGATTAAAAATACCATGTCATCATAACGGGGGCACACATTCCTCTGGTTCCCAGTGCCCATATCAGGGGTATTGTCACTTACAGAATTAGTCTCTGTTTGCTCAGAGCAAAATATATTTAAAAGTGTTGCCCTAGCATAACTTTGAACTTTCAGGTCATTGCAACCAGGGATCTTCCCATTAGCACAATCCTCAAGCCATTTGCACCAAGTCTCATCTGATATGATGACTTTCTGAACCTTTGGAAGAAGAGAAAGGATAGTAAGCAGCCGAGCTGCATGTTTGCGAATATGAGCTGTAGGAGGAACTCGGACACTAGAAGGATCGTTAGCATCTAAAGCAGATTTTTCACCAGGGTTATTTGAGCCTCGCTCCTGTGACTCAAGGATCCTTGATGCATCATATGCTTCATTTGCACCCAGTTGTTCATAATCATCCTGCAGCAAGAAGCGCCTCAGCAAACATAGGATCCCCATATCAGCTATTTCATTTTGACATATAGAATCTTCCACACAAAGTCCAGTCAGTGCTTTAATGCCCTTCAGTGTAGCGACTGCTGAATCTGCAGCATCAAACTTTGACAAACTTTCTTTTTTCATACTCTTCAATGGACCCAAAAATGGTTCCAGTGAAAGAAGATCTGCCAGTGGGAATGCATCAACAKAACCGACGGTTGTTCCCAACTGCTTTCCTGCTAGATTAACAACAGCACCAGATAACTGATTCACAGTCTGTGCGGCAAAAAGAGTATTGGACTGATCAATTTGGGTCTGCAAAAGATCAATGAACTTCCATGAGTTTCAACTGAAAATTTAATTTGATGTGATGCATTTCTAGATGGCTAGCTAACTTATAGATAAATACAAGCTTAAAGATCAGATTATGATTCTCTTATGAATGAAAAAAAAAATTAAAATAAATAAATAAATGTAAAGGAACCTTCACTTTGTCGCTTTTAGGTTGAGCACTTCCTTTTAATGATGTCACTTTGCTGGAACCTAGAATCTCAGTCAGCAAAACAGCTAACCATCCTTGAGATATTGGTATTGATAATGGCCCATAGTCTTCAAGAATGCATGAAAGAATTTTTGAAGCTGAAGACCTTATAGTGTCTGAGGAAGATTTTCCGCAAACCCAAGGTAGAAGAATACTGGACCACTTTTGACTTTCTTCAAGTGATAAATGCATGTCCCCAGTACAAAGCAATTCCAAAGCCTTTGCCAATGCTTCTTGCACATGCTTATGGCCTTCTGTCTTTTTGGCAGCTTCTCTCATCAGAGGAAGACCCTTTTCCATTACAACTTTCTGGGCACCAGGACATCTCTCAACAGAAACAAGAAAAGCTGATAAAGCCACCCGAGCCAAAGGAATGTCTTCAGCTTTGCTTGCATGAGAAACAGTAGAAAGAAGACTGGAACTCCACTCAGGAACAGAATCAATTAAGGGCAAATTACGGTCCTCCAGCAGCAGCCGAGCCACCAAACTCCCATGCCATTTGACAGTTCTCTCAGGTGCCATCAAGGCTGTCATTACAGCATGCCCATCTTGATCAAGCTCTTGAATATGAGATCGATTAAGTTCTGATGCCAATGCCCAATTTGCTAAAGCCCAGGCAGCAAAAGGCACAGCAACATGTTGACCCAGCAAATCATCCCAGAGGCCTGGAACAGAAACATAGGACAGATTTCCATGCACAACTGAACTGCTGTAATTCTGTTGCAATGTATGCCTTCTAGGGATATGACTAACTGGTTCTTGATGATTGGTAGCAGATCCATCTATTCTTGAAAGCCCCAAGACAGTTGTACCACCAAGAATTTTTATTCCAATGCCACGAATTCCTTTTTCACCATCATCATCATTATCATCATTTCCATGAGTCTCATCGAAATGCATGCCACCTTCCTCAATAACTTCAATGGCTGCTGCAATATCTCTCATATCGGCATTTCCTGGCAGGGATGGCTGGAATGACATTTTGTCTAGGCTATCACAGTTGGAAGTCACAATATCCATGATGGCAGCAACAAGCATGCTTCTACCTTTCAAAGCATCAGAAACATCGAAGGAAYTTCGACTAGTTTGCTGGCTCACATGGGAAACAATGTATCAATGACCCAAACATGTCCAGAACCATCAACTGAAAATAGAGATGGGAAAATTTTTCAAGTATGAAGCGTTTGTGATTATGATGTAGATAATGGTCAGCATCAGCATGCCACGCAAAAGATAATGGTGTCTTCTATAATATCGTACAGAAACTGATAAACGATGTTTTTCTGGGCTCTTAAATTAAGGAGATATGACTTTCCTATAAGTCTAAAAGCATAAATTAAGTGTTAAGACTATTGAAATTTTTACAACTAATTTCTAAGGAGACACGGTCCTCTGATTATACTCAGCAAAGTTGAATTGCAACTGAGACACTGTCTATGCACACAGACGTAGGGTGGGTAGGGCCAAAAGAAGGCATTAGTTTTGCAATGTGATCCCCTTCTCACCTAGCAAACATCATTTCAAGGAACCTCCGCTACGTGGCAATAATAGAGCACCATTTCTACCTCCTTTCTTATAAGTAAAGAAAAACAAATTTTTCGGTGGCTGCTTTCTGCACCAGATAAGTTCAATGTATATGGACCCAGACTAGATAACAGAACTATCCATAAGGTCAACCAAAAAGAAACCCACAGTGTCACAATAACCCTCTATATTAATGAGAAATCATAACCTGAACAAGCACCTAGTGTCATCTAATTAGGTTTACTGAACTTAATTTCCAACTGGTTGTCTGTATACAGTACACGGTAATATTCGTTAATGTCTGAAGTCTATACGCAAGATTCAAAAGACAACTTCAATCAGCTAAATTTCTTCGAGATCTATGTAGAAAAATAATGTATTTAGGGAAAATATGATTAATGAAGAAAGTCATTCAACTATAGTTGTTATAGACATATAGAGGTTCATCTTCTCGTCCAACAGAATATAACGGATGTCCAGGTATATGTATAAAAAGAATACATATACACAGAAAAGAAGAAAGAGAAAAGCTAATGAACTTACCTTCTTGGAGCGTTGTGGTTGAAACGAGAATATAAATCTTAGAAGATTGGGAACAGCGTGAGGACGCCCAAGCACAGCCTCGCACACGTTCGGATCAGCAACCAAGTGTGCAAGCGCCCTCGCAGACTCAGCCTGTGTAGCGCAATTATCTCCCGACGAAGCAACCGTCTCGAGAAGCCAATCCACCACAGCTCCGCCACCGGCACCCACAATCGCAGCCCGTCGGTTCTCATTGGCGGCAGCGATGTCAGCGAGAAGCGCCGCAACCCTAAGTTCAAAACCGGAGCGAACCTCGTGGTTCGCGGACGACAAGACGGAGCTCAAGGACTTCCAAAGAACAGAGGCGGCAACGCCGGTCTGTTTCATCTTGTTGACGAGCTTCTTGAGGGACTCGTTGGATCGCAGGACCGAGTGTTCGAGTTCGGCATAGAGATCGTCGATTTTATGCTTGAAGCGATCGTCGTTGGAGGAGACGAGAGCGGCGGAGGCAATAATGGCGGAAAGTAGGGTTGCGGAAAGAGCAAAGATGGATTTACGAGAGAAGGAAGAGGATGGAACAGGAGAGAGTGGGTAGGGTTGATGAAGGATTGGAGGGGGAGAAGGAGGTGTGGAGACATGTTGGGTATTTTTGAGATCTTTTGGGTATTCGGTGGGATTTTCAGGATGGCGAGAAATTGAAGAGGAGATGAAGCGGCGAAAGGAGAAGCGGAGGGGACGACTGGTTCTGGTGCATAGACGGAACATGGTTAGATAGATTATCAACAAGGAGACATCTGGGTTAGCCTTTTAACTTTGGGAATTTTCTTTCAAATTAGAATTAGATGGATTATCCCTTTTTCTTTTATCTGTTGTCCTCGTGTCGTCGATCGGCAGAAAGCATTGAAGAAGAGAAGAGTTTGTTCATCCGGTTGGGGACTGCGACTGGTAGTCTCCTTATTGGAATTGAATTTGCAATTGCAGGCGCATCTGGCGGCAAAAATAGGCTGAGCGTTGTGGCGTTGGAAGAAGTAGTTCGCGATTCCTCCGCCGCGTTCCCGTGTGGGATATCAGACCATAAGGATGGTGTACTAACAAAATATAAGGCGGGAGGGAGATGGATATAAATCATACGATGTGGAAGGTTGTAGACCAGGGGCAATTTAGGCAGAAAAAATCGTGGAATTCATTGTACTTCCGAGTTTTTCCAAGAGAGAGAAACCCCAAGTACCTAAGAATATTCCGTTTTAGAACCGGAATTTTCTGGCCCTTCCAGAATTGGGCTTTTAGATTAGACATATGGGTGCAATTTGGGCGAACCTAACTCGGACTAATTCAACCCAAATTTCTAAACAGATTATGAGTTATGACTTAGCCGAAGCCTAGGGTTTATTTTCCATATTTATGTCGAGCCCGAGCCCAAGCCCACCATGACCCAGCCCAAATATGACCCAATTTTAAATACATAATACACGAATACATGTAAAATTATTGACAATTAGTTGGCTGGAATGGAATGTTAGAGATTGTATTTAAAAACAACTTCTTATGTCTTATCCAAGATGGATATATTGACCTAACATCTTCTACGCCGATCCAAACTTCCAGCAATCCAACAACGTTCTGGTACTGAATAGCTAGAGAAGATCCAAGCCAGATTGGCCGAGTTAGTTTGCCTGTCGCACACCAGCCATTAATCTTCAAGGATCTTACGTTACGCCTGTTTTATTTTTTTATTTTTGGTAAGTTGAAAGGTGCTATATAAGACAGCGGTAGTACGACTCCGCAAGTCATACGAACAAATGAATCTACATCCCATTGAATACGATTTAGAAAAAAAACTCCCATCAGTCAAAGCATTTCACACCAATCAATCAGTAGCTTGGTTTGCCTCCGGATATGAATAGATGAACGAGACGCTARTAGGCAAAAATGAACACAGGTTCCAATAATCTTTGATGRCATTCCTTAATCTCCACGGTGGTTCAACAGACTTTTTTAGGCAGTCGATGACGAGGTTCGAATCTCCTTCCCATCACAATAGGCAAATCCTCAAAGTTGATGGCGATGTTTAGTCAGTGGTTTTGTCAGGCCTAAGCCCATTCCAAAGCCCAAATATTTGAACCTAACATGATCCCTGAGTCCATTAATTTTCTTGAATTAATGGAAATCCAAAACCACGATGACACCTGTATCTTCACTTGATATTGCTATCTAGGAAAACTTCAATCTTGTCAAGGTGGGAGAAGCGTTGTTGAAGAAACTTGTTTCTAGGGTGAATTGTTTAATTCGGAAACTGATCTCTCTAAATCTGTCACCAATGAAGGAGTTCTAATGGAGATCAAGTGTATAAATGTTGGTTTGCAGGCGGTAATGTTTAGCTAAAGCTTCGTTTTCTATAACTCTTGCTGCCCATCAAGGACCTGTAAGTAGTACTTTGGGCTTGGCCCTTTGTAGGCACAAGACCTAGGAAGGTACAGTCGCTAACTAGGTCAACTTGTTAGACCATCTTGATTTCTTTGATATTTTTTTTTTTTTTGCAACCTTAAAATCTAATAACCCAGTTAAGACTATCTGACTTGGATCAGTTTTTAACTAGATTGGAGATGGATATGTGAGAAAATCATACGAATTGATCAAAATTGCATGGTTCTTCCATTTATTTGTTTCCTAATAAAGGGAACCATCATTAAAAACAAAATACAACGAAGAAAAACTGAAGAAGTTAGAGCTAGTACAGAAGAACTTAGGGTACGGTTTTCCAAGTCCTTTTAGGAAGACCTTCTGACAGTCTAGATGGCCAAAAGATGTAAAGAGTTTCTAGGGTTTTTCTCCAAAGGTTAGACCATTTGGTATGTATCCTAGTCTACCATGGTCTTTTTTTGGTGAAGAAAATATTTCATTAAAAACAGAAAGGAACCACGATTTACAAGCTAACTAAACATTCTTTAACAATAGCACCAGATAAGCGTAAAGGAATAGAAATACACGATTTAAAACTAGACTTCATACCACACTTTGCTGCAACATGCGCAACTTCATTTGCTATCCTTGGACACCACTGGAAAGTGAAGTTTCTTCTCAAGGCAACCTCCTTGATGTCACGGCAGCAGAACCAAACATATGGGGAGATTTCAGAATTAGGATCACAAAAAAAAAAAAAAAGTTCACCAAATTTGAACAATCAGATTCAAAAATAATCTTAAAGAGACCCATCTAATCAACAAAAGTGACTGCTTCCCAAAGAGCTTTAGTTTCTGCTGTTAAAGGTGTGGATGCTTTTATAGGTGCAAAATCAGCACCCCAACACACTCCTCTATGATCCTGCAAAACGAAACTGAATGAAGCTTTATTTGCATATATGAAACCAACATCACAATTCACTTTCATAAAACCAAGCTTTGGAAGTTTCCACAAGAATGCTTCAACAACTCTTTCAAGATTGGAAGAGCCTTTCCAATTTCTACTGCCAGAGGTGAAACCTCTCCACTATTGACCTGTGAATTTTAGATATCACAACAACGAATCTTCATTTTCAAAATAGAATAAGTTTATATTTTCCAAATTTCCCAAAGATATTGGGCTATGCTTGCTAGGGTCTCTATCTTTTCATCCTTCAAAGTAGTTACAAAACTTTTGAACCTGTCCCCAAAAGAAGAAAAGGATCTTACAAATTTTGGGTTAATGTCCAAACCTGATCCAAGCCAGGTACATCTAGCTTTATCACAAAGAAACAATGCATGCAAAGTTGTTTCAACATATTTCCCACATCTTGTACAGGTGTCTGATTCAAATATACCCCTTACAACTAGATATTCCTTCATAACTAAGCCATTCACACAATACCTCCAAAGAAAGTGCTTAATTTTTTGTTCTACTGGTACTTTCTAGATCAGGTTCCATAATTTTTTTCTAAAACCAGGGTTAGGATGGGACATTTCACTATTTTCCCTATTATTTTTTGCTATGAAATATGCTGACCTGATTGAGAATTTGCCATTTTGCTTCTTAACCACACTAATTTATCTGGCCAAGGATTAGAGGGAAGGTTTATATTCAAAATTTGTTGAGATATGAAGTTAGTGAAAAGACCATTTACTTTATTTTCATCTCATTTTCTTCCATTCTGGTTAATCAAATCAGCCACCTTTGCTTCAAAATAATTCACTAGTCTGGGGCCCATTGGCTTGAAATCCTCCAGATCTTGTATCCAAGGATCACCCCATAGGTTGACTTCATGGCTATTGCCTATCTTCCAACAAACTCCCCCTCTTAAAATTTCTCTGCCAACCAAGACACTTCTCCACCCCCAAGAAGGCCTACTTCTCATGGGAGCTTAAAGGAAAATGAGAAATTTGAAAATATTTGGCTTTGAGAAGCCTTGCCGAAAGACTATAATGATTAGTGCAAAGCCTCCAGGCTAACTTTGCTAGAAGCGCCAAGTTGAAAGAAAGGGGATCCCAAAATCCTAGTCCCCCCCCCCTATTTGATTTGTTTTTGCAGATTTGATCCCACTTAACCCACCTTGTTTTCCTTTTTTTCTCATTGTCCCCCATTAGAATCCTCTTTGACTCCTAACTATAGAATTACAAACTTTCTTTGGTAAAAGAAAGAAAGACATACAATAGGTAGGGATTGCTGTGAGAACATATTTTAGTAGGACTTCTTTCACTACTTGGGATAGTAAAGATCCTCTTCATCCCTTTGTCCTGTTTGACACTCTTTCAGCAAGATACTCAAAGGATTGAGTTATTTTTTTATCTAAGAGATGATGGGCTCCCAGATGGCATCCAAAAAAGAGTTTGCTTCTCTAAGATTAGCTTTTGAGAAAACATAGCTGTCATCTACAAAAAACAAATGAGAAATGGTTGGCGCCTATTTGTGGATTTTTCTACTTAAGAAATCACTCTTATTCACTTTTTGGTTCAAAATGGCTGAAAAACACATATGAGAAGAGAAGAAAGAGATCGAGTAAGAGGGGGTCACCCTGTCTTAGCCCTCTCTGTGAATACAATTTCTTGGAGGGGGAGCCATTCACTAGGATTTGATAGGAGACAATAGTCACACAGGTCATGACCCAAGTGATGTACTTATTTTTGAACCCTAGTTTTCCATGATGGCTTTCAAAAAATCCCATTCCACCCTATCATAGGCTTTACTCATATCCAGTTTAACAGCCATGAACCCATTTTTAGCTTTGGTATAAGACATAAAGTGGATTACTTCATGGGCTATCAGGATGTTACCCATTCTTAGAAAATTATTCGTTTAGGAGTGGTTTCATCCTGTAAGCCAGAATCTTTACAATTATCTTATACAATGCATTATATAAACTAATTCGCCTAAATTGACACCTGTTTCGCCAAATCAGCTTTAATAACCTCACAGAAATGCTAAAAGAAGAGATATGGGAAGCCATYCGGCCCAAGAGCTTTCCTAGGGGCCATTTTGAAGAGAGATTTCTTAATCTCCTCTTTTGCGACTTCCTTTTGAAGCTCCTCGTTATTTTCCTCAGTTATTAGGCAGTTAATTTCTTCAAGGGCAATAGAAATGTCTGTAGGAGTAGAGGAAGTGAAAATTCCATTAAAATGATTTACAAAAAACACCTTTATTTGATCTTGCCCTTCCATCCACTCACCACTTTCGTTCTTAAATTTTAGGATCCTATTCTTCCCTCTTCTTCTGATTGTAGCATTGYGTAAAAACTTGATATTTTTATCTCCATACTTTAACTAATTTATTCTTGACTTCTGAGCCCACATGATTTATTCTCTTTTAAGCCAATAATCTAATTGAGTTTCAATCTCCTCCACTCTTTGCTGACAGTAATTTGACCCCTCCTTTCTTTGCTCCATTGGTAGCTCCTGTTTTAATTTTCCTATCCACACATGAGCTTTTCCAAAATCCTCTTTATTCAATTTTCTAAGAATCTTCCTCAACCTTTCACACTTCTTGGAAATAAAGCTGGTTGGCAAATTAGAACGTTGACTTGTTCATGTGTCTTTGATTAAGTCAGAGAGTTTATCATGGGTAAGCCACATTTCTTCAAATCTAAAAGTTTTTTTTTTATTTTAAAATTT